GCGTATGCCGTACTTGTGTACTTTGGAAAGTATTCTGTGTCGTAACACTGTATCATAGGCCGCCTCAATATCAAAGAACAGTGCTCCAAGGTGCTTCTTTTCAGTAAAACAGGTGCGTATCTCGGTGTCGAGGGCTAAAATGTGGTCAACAGGGCTGCGGTGCTTTCTAAAGCCGCACTGGGCGTTTGTAAAAACACCGTGATGTTCCAAAAACCAGCTAAGACGCACATTGACCATCTTCTCCATCAGCTTTGAAAGCGATGATGTGAGAGAGATGGGCCGATAGTGGAGAGGGTCATGTCCCGACTTGCCAGCCTTCAAGATAGGAATGATAGTGGCTTCCCGCCAGGTCTCAGGGAAAGTGCTAGTCTCCCAAAGCGAATTGAAAGTTGCTAGCAGCGCCTCGAGGGCAACTGCTGGGAGATGACGGAGCATGTCGTTGTGGACAGCATCCGGACCTTCTGAGACGCTGCGCAACGAGCTGATGGCAGACGTGAGCTCAGCCATAGAGAAAGGCTCATTGTACATCAAATTTTCAGCTGTGCTGAAGTCCACGGCGGCTGGTGCAGGTCGTGAGGACGGCTCTCCTCGGCAGCGCTGATAGAGTGCACGGCCTATCGTCTCTGCGACGTCTAAAGGGTGGGATATGTCCGTGTTGTTCACTCTTAAAACCGGAAGCGGAACAGAGCTGAACCGGCCTTCAATGCGCTTCATGCGTGCCCATATCTGGGTCGTAGGAGTAAAACGGTTTAAGGAACTCACGTACGTGCGCCATGAAACAGCCTTTGCCTCTTTTAAAACGCGACGGGCAAAAGCCCGCGCTTTCTTAAAAGCGATGAGGTTCTCAGTAGTACTACTCCGGTCAAACTTTCTAAAAGCGCGCTTCCTGGCACGAATCGCATCTCCGCATTCCTTGGTCCACCACGGGACCGGAGGACGACGAGGCTGACTCGACGTCTTGGGTATGCACCCGTTTGCGGAGTCAATGAGTAAACATGTAAAATCCTCTGTAGACATCACAGAGGGGTCGGCTCTGGATAAAACCGTGGCCTCTACGGCGGCCTGGAATTCGCCCCAGTCGGCCTTCCGAACATTCCACCTAGGTGGACGGTTGCCTGACACTGGGGACTCCTGGTGCTCCAGCCACACTGGGAAGTGGTCGCTCCCGAGTGGGTCGTCATGGACGGACCAGGTAAAAAGCTGAGCTAGCCGCGGACTGACTAAGCTCAGGTCCAGAGCCGATGTTTGACCGGAGGGTGTTGTAAAATGGGTGCGCTGTCCTGTATTTAAAATACACAGCGCCTCATCGCGGATAAAAGATTCTAAAAGTCGACCACGAGTGCCAGTCGTGTCGCATCCCCACGCCAGGCTATGGGCATTAAAATCGCCGACTACCAGGACCGGAGGTGGAAGCTCATCGACAAGTCGATGCAGCTCAACCACCGGGAGCGCTATACCTGGTGGTAGGTATAAAGAGCACACTGTCAGTTCCCGGTGGTTGAAATCAACTCTGGCGGCCACCGCCTGCAGAGGAGTCTGCAGCGGCACCTGGCGAGCAGGTACGCTGTGGTGAACCGCCAGAAGCACACCTCCATGGGCAATGGTAGGGGTGTCCAGGTCTCTTCTAAAAACAGAGTAGCCCTTGATGGCAAAGGTAACGTTTGGCGCTAGCTTGGTCTCCTGGAGACCTAAAACAAGGGGTGTGCGCCAACGGATAAGAGACTGTAGGTCCTGGTAGTTGGCCCGGAGGCCTCTACAGTTCCACTGTAGAATAAAAGGCGTGGTTAAAAAGGCGCAAAAAGGGCGCGTATAACATGAGGCAAAGGCGCACACAGATACCTGACTGACCACAAAAAAGGTAAAAAGCACCGAGAGAAATGCACCTGGTAAAAAAGCGCAATAGCGCGAAAAAGATAAAAGGATAAAAGAGGAAATGACTAGACTGAAAGACTAGACTAGGTCCTCTAACTCCGAGGAGGCGCTCCCCCCGTAGCGGATACGGGGGTGCCCTGAGCCCTCTCGGTGAAGCCTCCCTTCAGCAGAGGCAGATCGGGCATGGCTCGGGCCCGGCTGGGGCCTTTTCGACCGGGGGGCGTCGCCCTCCGAAGGTGACCAGCTCGGGGGCGTCTGCCGCTTGGCGAGGCGCCCTGGAGCCGCGGAGGGCTGTTGCCGCCCCGACGGGGATGTCGAGGCGGCGGCCTGTGTCCTCGACACAGGCGTCTCTGGCAGCGGCGGTGGTGGCCGCCGCTGCGGAGGTGGAGGAGGCGGCGGGGGACCCATGATGGGCCGAGTCCCCGCCTCAGGTGTCTCCGGGGTGTCAGCGGCGACAGCCGCATTGGCACTCCCGGAGGCGGAGTCGGCAGACGAGGCTTCCTTAGCCTCGAGGGCCTTCTGGACGAGGCGAGCCCTCCTCGCCTCACGTGCCCTTCTCTCCTCCTCCCCCCGCCGCAGAGCCTCCTGCACCGCCGTAGACGGTCGGGGGCGGGGCGGGGTGGGTGGCGCCTTACCCTGCGCCGGGGGGCGCCGACCACCCTGTCGGCGCTGGACGACGATCCAATCGTCTCCATTACCGTTCGCGGCTGGAGCGGGACTGGGTGGACCCCACACTGACTCTTGAGCAGCCTGCTCTGTGTTGCTCGGCGGCGCACGAGGCGCCGTGTTGTCCGCTGAGTCACCAGTGGCTACGACGGTGAGGCCGAATCGTTTGAGAAGCTGCACGAGCTGTGCTACGCTCATCTGGGAGGCATCGGTAGAGTTTGTGACTCTCACCTTCTGGGCATACGAGGTCTTCGGGTGACTCTGGTTGTACACCTCCCGGGCCTCTTTGAAAGACAGATTTCTGGTAGCCTTGATGGTCATGATCTCTTTCTCCTTGACGTATGCAGGGCAAGACCTATCATACGCGGAGTGCGGCGTCTGCCCCTCTCCGCAGTTGACGCATCGGGGGGTCTCCGAGTCACAGGTTTCGTCAGTGTGGTCCTGCGAAGCACACTTGGAGCACGTGGGTCTTCCTCGGCAGTTGTCCTTTGTGTGGCCGAAACGTTGGCAGCGGAAGCAGCGCATGGGCGCTGGGACGAAAGGCCGCACGCGAACCTTCACGTAGCCCACGCGAATCTCACTCGGCAAGTCGGTAGAGTCAAATGTCAGAATGATGTTGTTGGTCGAGACCGTGCCTCTCTTCGTCATGATGCGGCGAGCCGCTGTCACGCCGAAATCGGCGAGCCCGTCCGCAATATCCTCGTCGCTCACTCCCCTCAAATCGAAACAGTTAATGACCCCTCGTGAGGAGTTCTTAGAACGGTGGGGCTCCACTGTAAGCGGGATGGAAACGAGCCTCCGGCCGGATGCCCGTCCCTCGGAGAACACGAAGCGAGTAGCGTCCAATGCTTTCGCCGCCTCCTCGCTTTTCCTGAACTCGACCTCCAGCGCGCCATCACGCATCCGGTCACAACGAACTATCGAACCAAACCGGTCGCAGCCATCCTTCCGCTGGAAGGGCGACAGAGAGCTCAGCTCCCTGTCTGCGCTCCGGAAGATGAGGATCTTAGGAGATCGTGGACCTTTTTCAAGCACCGTTCGCCTGTCGGCCGAGGCCAACGGGCGAGGATCGGCCGAGGCCGAAGGATTGGTAAGAGTGGGGGAAGGGGGGTTGGTCGAGTTGGGAGCCCACCAATCTGTGCCAGAATGAGTAATATTTTTTCTGGATGATATTTTATACAGTCTGATCAATTTACGACCAGAATATGCGAGAAAAGCACGCTTTAAAATTCGTCGAAAATTAGGGTATTGGCCACTTCTGAACCTGGATAGCGGCTGTGTGCGCCGCCGCCGCCGGCACCCGAAAGTGTCTCCTGGGCGGACCCTGGCCGCCGCAGCCGCAGAGATAGGTCACGTCCGACCACCACGACCAAAAAGGATGGATGACGGCTGACGCTCTGGCCGCGAGGACTCCAGCGCTCCAAATGTGACACTGAGCGCACGCACACCAAAAATAGCGGTTGTGTCTGGTGGAGCGAGTTACGCAGTTTCGCCCTCATCCAGTCCGCCAACAACTTCCTCGGACCACCCGAAACAACTTAACCCAGTACACCTTAGCTGAGACTCTCCAATCGGTGTGATTGAGTTCCCCAGCTCAGTGCATTATCCAATATCCGAGCTGGGAGCGCAGGACAAGTCGGCAGCGATAGGCGCATCGACAGGAGCGATAGACAGACAGGTCGCAAAGGGCACTGCACATATGAACCCAGCGTCAGATTCCTGTCAAAGGGACGGCATTTAGCACGGCCGGCTGTTCCCCCTCCTGATCCCTGATTAGCGGACCCTCTGTTCTAGCCGTAAGCCAGCAGAGCTATCCACCGTCTGTCGTCAGCAGCTCCCCTCCCCCCTCCCCTCCCCGACGCTGGAAGCTCATCTCTCGGGAGCTGCTCTATCCGGCAGAGCAGATACGGCATTAGCTGATTGCCGGAATGCAAATCAGACTGAAAGCAGCTGACACACGCCTTTGACGTCGGCTCGGCTGTGACACTCCGGTGCTCCAATCTTCACGTTATTTACCTTTGAAGGCGACAGATCTAACGCCAGCGATTCGACGTACCGTTGAATCTGCTCACCAGGGTTTCCACACATTGTCTCTGCGATGTCCCAATATAGCTTCAGCACGTGACTATCTATGGCTTCAGGTGAGAGCTGGATGACACTACAGACCACACATAGGACACGGCTCAGCTCACAGGTAAATCCACAAGAGACAAAGGCATAAGGCAAATGTGATCCGTCAAGAATATGTACGCAAAAAGAGGCTTGTCAAAATAAGGACGACATAATTTCTGGCAAAGCAAGGAAAACAAAAGGACAATGATAAAGAAGTAATACAAAAATGCAGCACTGAGTTAAAGAAAGATAGAGAAAACCTCGCAGTTCGCGATTCGCATTCATCGGGGGATGCAGAGCACAAACAGCGGAGAGGGGCGGTGATCGCTTCGTCGGGAGGTCCCACTCACCATCTGTACCACCTCTGGGTAGATGTTCTCGGTGATGACTCCGCGCTGTGAGGACACGTGCTCGATCATCTCCTGCAGCGCCAGCCGTTTCACCTCCTTCCATTTGAGGTCGGACAGCGGGTCCGAGATGAAGTCGAACAGCACGCAGCATTGTCGGATCTTCTGGATGAAGAGCTCCTCCCGTTCGCTGGCGGCCACCTCTGCAATACAGGGATACTGGCGTTAACACCGTGCATGCATAGCGATATTACAGCAGGACACAATCTTCGCAGGACGTCATGTCGATATTTTGGGTATATGACACATCCAAACGTGCATATCAAACATTATACACCAGCCATATACAAATAATCAATGAGTGCCTAACTGCAAACATGTTTTGGATTACACGCTAAAGATGATCTAAACTGTCTCAAGTTTTAACACTTCTATTCGCACACATTATTCAGGACGTTACGTGTCTGTGCTACACAAAATGTCAACAAAAGTTCAAAGCGAATTTCCCGAGTGGACGGCAGTGTCTGGACGAGTTCCACCATCGGGGGAAATCATACAGTAGGTATCGCTGTCCAGACAATCGGTCACAATCCCGCCATCTGGTGTGACACCCGACCGGTGCCGTCAGACAGCTCTCCACACCTGTCAGCCGAACCTATATGGAGCGACAACTAGTGAAACCTACCAACATATGGGGCGTTCCACGACAAATCGACAAATAAAAAATTAAATTTGCACCCTCATATTTTATTCTTCGTTGAAAACTGGTGTAAGGGATTGTGATGGGCGGGGAATCCAGCTGTGGCAAGGATTTTTTTCTTCGAACAACGGTTTCCGAGATATAGCCTCGGGCAATTCCTGGAGTTCGCGCTGCAGCCCTATGTTTGGCGGCCTATAACTCAGAAACTATTAGTTTTTTACGATAAAAACTTCATATGGTTCATCTCACAATCAACCAACAAACATTTTGGCTATCTCGGATTTTCATTTTTTGAAAATTTTGATCACGTGACCTTTTGTCCTATTTTTCGAAGAGTGACCTTGATATTTTCCCCACTGAAAGTTGCAATTTTGTCTGATGACGAAAGTGGACGGTCCATATATGCATAGACGTACATAAATGTACGTCAATTTGAGTTGACCAATGTGTGCCATCTTTATAGAAATAGAGCTAATTAGCCATCAAACGCGGTCGTTCTAAATCATTTACATTGTTAGCCGTCAGGTGAATACCAAAAAACACGGTACCAATGCATTCAGTGTTGAGTTTCAGACATTCGGTTTGTTGATGCCGCTACGGGAAGATTTTCACTCGTTCAGACGCTCGACCCAGGGTGAGCCAAGTGTTCTTAATTATAGTTAAGTGCTTTTCCCGGATTAGCTTTCGTTGCCAGCAATCTGCTCAAGCATGACCCTAACTTCATGAGTGGTGTCATTATAATGCTAATTTTGCTTACCGAGCAAATCCAAAAATAGTACGTTTCACAAAAACGCACGTACAATAATGTACGTCTATGCATATCCGTTACATTTTGTTTCCCAAACATCAAACACGTTTATGCTTTGGTTTGATGGGAAATGTGAGCCTCAACGATGTTCTGGATCAGGGCTGCGGGAGTCGATGGATTTTCAGTGACTCCGACTCCGACTCCGACTCCGACTCCGGGTAGAACTATCGACTCCGACCGACTCCAACTCCGACTCCCGACTCAGCAGCCCTGCCAGGTCAGCGGAGTCGATGGGTTTGTCGGTGATTCTGACTCCGACTCCGGCTCCGGTTTCCAAAATCGACTCCGACTCCGACTCCGGTCAGAATTGTCGACTCCGACCGACTTCGACTCCGACTCCGACTCCGCAGCCCTGTTCTGGATGGCATCGAGGAGCGAAGTCGAGTCGCCGATGTCACGGTCGTCGTCCTAGAGCCGCCGGAAGTTCGCGTCGACACAAACGAAGACTCTAGCGACGAAGAGAATGCTGACCCAGCCAGCCTGACGTAACTGGTCTGAGCCGTAACTGACGTAACTGAGCCGTAAAGACGTAACTGAGCCCGTAACTGGTCGCACCCACCGGCTCAACCGGTTCTGGATGATTATGGATGTATGTCACTTCCAAAGCAGCACCAAGCCTGACCCTGATGATCGGTTTTGCAGCAGAGATCCAGAAGCGCCAGTTCCATGGCACGGGTACCATGTGAGGGAATCGCCTTCTGAAGGCGAACAAGCTCACCGACATCAACGCCTTCAAGAAGAAGTCCAATCAGACCATCGAAGCATTTACGACTGCCAACAACGGCTGCAGTGCGGCTGTTATCCGCTGGATGGACGTGGTCGAGGATCACGAGTTCCAAGAGGCCATCATGCCGTCACTGGGGAAGGAAGAGCCGGCCGACGCCCCTGGACAGACGCACCTCTCCGAGTTCTAAGTCGAGGGCGACCAGTCGCTCTGCTCCGCTGACCATGCCGGCGACTTTACGTCCGGCTGATGGCCGTCTTTAGTCATTACAGCGGGGCCACGCGCTCGGGACAGTGTCTGACGTGTACAGTGTGGGACGGGACAGGTGGTGCCATTTAGTGGTGTCAATCGGAACTTGAATCTTCGGAATTCCGATTTTGTCCAATGTCCAATTCGGAATTCGGTTGGACAATGACAGCAGGCTTTGGACAACTTTGGACAACCGCTTGCTACACCTCAACATTTTCATAAAGTAATCGTGTTTAACATTGATTGGCTGTAGAAAGCTCAGCTTTCGATATGAATACCACTTTTGAGCTGGTAACGATACATTAAAACCAAATTAAATAACGGTGTTGAGTGTAAACTATTGCGTAGATGTCGGACATCTTTGGACAAATGGCTGGCTTGGACATTTTTGGACGGACAGTCGACGTAAGTATTGGACATTGGACGGACATTGGACATATGTTTTCTGAAATTGACATCACTAGTGCCATTACGACGACCGACGCGTCAGCTGCGTGGACGAGGCAGACGTCCTGGGCGAAGGCCCCCAGCGGAACGGCTACATCTTCTGTCTCCTCAAGAAGCTCTGCAGTCAGGTAGTCAGCATGGAGCGCGCCGGGCGCCGGACTGTGACTGCCACAGGGGAGCACAGGGTCACCGCGTCGGTGGCCAGCAGCAGAACGCCTCCTGATCGCCATTGACAACGTGCTCTTTTTATAAATGTACTATGTTGACTATTATGTACATGAGACAAGTTTTCAATAGACGGTAAAAGTTGACATAATTGAGTTGTGTTTTGCAAATTTCCTTATTTTCATCATACATGATCTACATCTATTTCCTAATTCAACGTATGAATTGTAACTACCATTTCCAAGGGTCTCTAATGCAACACAACATATCATACATCATATTTGACCATACTCGTACAACACAAGTTATTCCCCTCGCCCAGGTTAACGATGACATGACGTCACCCTACCCCCTCCACAACCCCATCCCCACCCCAACCCATCCCTCATACATCGCTTCTGAAGTACGAAAGACGTTAGCATTGTATTAGGGATATCGGATGTATTATTTTAGGACGGCGGCGGCAGACGTCACAATTGTCTTGTTGACACCTGGCATAGACGTACATTTTTGTACGTCACTTTGAACGAGCATATCAGGCAAGCACTAAATGTAAAAACAAAACAGTTGATGTCAGCAGCTTAGTAACATGTTGTTTAACAATGCTAGAAAGTTTCATACAAATACTCGACAAAAAATTAATTCATGCATATATGGGTTAAAGCCTTATCGATTGTCATTCATATGCGATAATAAAAAAAGTGGTTATCGCCCTGCGTTGACCTCAGGTCAGGTCATTTTTATGACCTGTCCATTATTACGAGGGGGAGCGACAGCGAGATCTCGAGAATAAAGCAAGATAGCGACAAGCGGTAAACGGTAAAGGGTACACACGGATAAGGTCTATAATTTTTACTGAGGTCATTTTCAGGTCAGGTCAAAGATGACGTCACAGGAGCTAAAAGGAAGTCAAAATAGCGGCACTATACATATATATGAAGTTTTTCTCGAATAACTTTCAAGGTATCCCAGCTAGGAACAAACTAATAGCACCATCGTGATCCTCTCGTCGATCCGCATCGAAACATATGTATTTTGACCTCGAAAGGTCGAAAGGTCAAAAGTTGACCTTAGGTCACGTGATCTAAGGTCAACTTTTGACCTTTCGACCTTTCGAGGTCAACATACATATGTTTCGATGCGGATCGACGAGAGGATCACGATGGTGCTATTAGTTTGTTCCTAGCTGGGATACCTTGAAAGTTATTCGAGAAAAACTTCATATATATGTGTAGTGCCGCTATTTTGACTTCCTTTTAGCTCCTGTGACGTCATCTTTGACCTGACCTGAAAATGACCTCAGTAAAAATTATAGACCTTATCCGTGTGTACCCTTAACCGTTTACCGCTTGTCGCTATCTTGCTTTATTCTCGAGATCTCGCTGTCGCTCCCGCTCGTAATAATGGACAGGTCATAAAAATGACCTGACCTGAGGTCAACGCAGGGCGATAACCACTTTTTTTTATTATCGCATATGAATGACAATTGATAAGGCTTTAATCGTCATCAGACAAAATTGCAACTTTCAGTGGGGAAAATATCAAGGTCACTCTTCGAAAAATAGGACAAAAGGTCACGTGATCAAAATTTTCAAAAATTGAAAATCCGAGATAGCCAAAATGTTTGTTGGTTGATTGTAAGTTGAACCATATAAAGTTTTTATCGTAAAAAACTAATAGTTTCTGAGTTATAGGCCGCCAAACATAGGGCTGCAGCGCGAACTCCAAGAATTGCCCGAGGCTATATCTCGGAAACCGTTGTTCGAAGAAAAAAATCCTTGCCACAGCTGGCTTCCCCGCCCATCACAACCCATTAGACCAATTTTAAGCAAAAAATAAAATATGAGGGTGCAGGGCACTTGTCGATTTGTCGTGGAACGCCCTATATACCTACCGACATGACTAAAAGCGGAGCCACTATGCTCGTGACCTTGAGTGCGCACACCACCTGACATGACCCGCACAAGCGCCGGGCGATTCCACAGCGTCTGTCCCTGACGCATTACCGCTATCAACTGATAACGATTAGAGCACGGGAGGATATTCAGTCCCAGATTGCAAATGCCCGCAATTTACGAGGCACATGCTGATTGTATGCTTACACCAAAAC